AAGCCTTTACTTTAAAATCAGGTACAAGACAAGGATGTCCTTTATCACCACTCCTATTTAATATAGTACTGGAAGTACTAGCCAGAGCAATTAGGCAAGAAAGAGAAATAAAAGGGGTAAAGATAGGAAAAGAAGAAGTTAAATTATCATTGTTTGCAGATGACATGATACTCTACATAGAAGACCCCCTAAACTCCATTGAAATACTCTTAGATACAATAAATAAATTCAGTAATGTGGCTGGATACAAAATCAATACTCAGAAATCAATAGCATTCCTATACACGAACAACAAAATTACAGAGAGGGAAATAAGAGAAACTGGACTATTCACATTAGCAAGCAAAAAAAATGAAATATTTAGGAATTACTCTTACGAAAGAAGTGAAAGACTTATACAGTGAAAATTATAATACACTGAAAAAGGAAATTGAAGATGATCTCAGAAAATGGAAAGACATCCCTTGCTCATGGATAGGAAGAACAAACATTGTGAAAATGGCCATTCTCCCAAAACTGTTATACAGATTCAATGCAATCCCAATAGAAATACCATCAACATACCTTATAGATCTAGAGAAATCACTCCTAAATTTCATCTGGAACCAGAAGAGACCTAGAATCGCAAAGGCAATTCTAAGCAGCAAAGACAAAGCAGGAGGCATCACAATCTCTGACTTGAAGTTATACTACAAAGCAACAGTAGTAAAATCAACATGGTATTGGAATCAAAACAGAGCTGAAGATCAGTGGAATAGATTAGAAGATATAACCACAACTACGAACACACTCAACCACCTTATTTTTGATAAAGGAGCCAAGCAGGTTCACTGGAAGAACGACAGTCTCTTTAATAAATGGTGCTGGAAAAACTGGCTCTCCATTTGCCAAAAACTAAAGCTAGACCCATGTCTATCACCATGTACTAAATTAAAATGTAAATGGGTCAAAGATCTGAATATTAAAACAGAAACACTAAATCTATTGGAAGACAAAATAGGTAGAAACCTTGGAGACATAGGAGTAGGTAAAGAATTCATGAACAGGACTCAAACCGCACGGGAAATACTTCCCAGAATCAATAACTGGGACCACTTCTTATTAAAAAGTTTCTGCATGTCAAAAGAAATCTCCAGCATAGTGAAAAGAAAACCCACAAACTGGGAAAAGATTTTAGTGAACTCTCTCTCAGACAAGGGCCTCTTGTCTAAAACATACAAAGAATTAAAGAAACTCAGACCTCCGAAATTCAAAGATCCAATCCAAAAATGGGCATCTGAGATGAATACGCAATTCTCAGATGAAGAAATGCAAACGGCAAATAAATACATGAAAAAATGCTCATCATCATTGGTCATTAGAGAAATGCAAATTAAAACCACACTGAGATACCATCTCACTCCTGAAAGAATGGCCAGGATCAAGAAAACCGACAACAAATGCTGGAGAGGCTGTGGGGAAAAAGGAACTCTCCTGCACTGCTGGTGGGAGTGTAGACTGGTACAGCCTTTGTGGAGATCTGTCTGGAGATTTCTCAAAAAGTTGGGACTGGAAATCCCATTTATTCCAGCTATTCCACTTCTAGGCATATTCCCAGAAGAACTGAAAGCATCATACCACAGTGATATATGTGCACCTATGTTTATAGCAGCACAATTTGTAATCGCCAGATCTTGGAAACAACCCAAGTGCCCATCAACTGAGCAATGGATAAAAAAGTTGTGGTATTTCTATACAATGGAGTATTATTCAGCTATAAAGAAGGATCACATTGAGATATTTATCAATAAATGGGCACAGCTTGAGACCATACTCATAAGCGAAATAAATCAATCTCGCATGTGTGAATACAGAATAGTTTCCCTAATGTAAGTAATGATTCAAATATATAAAAATATGTGGTAATCATGATTCCCCATTAGGTGGCCTTGAAGCCTTATAAAGTTTTCACTCATTAATTAGAAAGGCTTTATTCTGGGCTTCTTGATATGAAAATATTTGAAGCTAGAGTATATGAAGTTTTACCCAAATATTTCAAGGAAAAAGACACTATGGTAACTACTATTAAGTCAGGTTATAAGGTGGTGAAGTACTAGGTTATTGAAACAGTCATGCTGTGACCTCTATTGTTATATTGTTATGTCCTGTTTTATCTCAATCTCCCCCTTATTGTTTCAAAAAAAAATATTTAGTCATTTCTTATGTTTGTCTTAATTAAAGAAAAAATTCAAAAAAATTAGGATATATAAATAGTAACTCTTTTCGATTTCCTATTAACTTGTTTTGAAGTCCTGTAGTACTCCCACGATCTTGTTTTGACTGATTAGACTCTGTTCCATTCTATATGATAGTATCAAGTTTGAAGACATAGGCAACTACTTTGAAGACAATAAGATTCACTAAGATACCCATTCTGGTTTGACTATTGTCTTCTTTGGAAGTCCTGTAATGTTTACAATGCCTAAGTTTTATTGGTCTTGTTCTCTACTGTTGTGTCCAACTTTATAATATCTAATAAGATAGACAATTCTTTTTAAGGAAACAAGGGACAACGTTGATAACCATTGTTGATAAACTTGTACTCTGTTCTATACCATGTGCTACGTCTATCCTTGGTAATGACTGACAGCTTTGTTTTGCCATATTTGACTGTATTCTCCCCCCCCCAAAGAAAGTAATAAGCACTAAGGAGTAATAAAATCCAAGATGTGTAAATTTTGTTGTAAAAAAGAGAGGGAAAAAAAAAAAGAAAAAGAGCTCTAACGGATATAACAGCAAGTGTGTTTGGGGGTGTTAAATAGCTGACTTTATCAATGTTTTTGGAACATTGAACACAGCTGTTTGCAGTCTCCCTGTTTGAATGTCCACCTTGTGTTCTTTGATACTGTGATTTGAGGAACTATTTTCAAGAAAATAGTGTGTAATCTACTAGCAGGTAATTTCTTACTGTTATGGTTTTTTGTTTTGTTTTGTTTTGTTTTGTAGTTCTGTATTGCGTGTACCCTTACGCCGCTTTGGTTTGTTTTGTGTTTTTCTCTTTTTCCTCTTAAATTAAAAAAAAAAAAAGCAATGTTTCCTTTGTGCAAATGCAAATCTGTAGAACAAAGCATCAGCTGTCCTCTGTCTATGTCCTTGCTAATGGAATTTTTGTGGCTAATCCTCCTATCATAGTAACATGTACTTTTATACTTTTGTCTATGCACAACCTAGTAGAGACACATAGAGGACTCACTGTGTGCTGGGTACCACAGCTCTCCAGATGCAGATCACACTTGGTGAGACAATGAAACTCACACTGCCAATAGCTGGTGATGACTAAGTCACGGAAAGAAGGTGAAAACCAAACACAGGCAAATCTTCTGTAGGAACACTCAGTCTGGCTCCCAAGTCCTGTATTTGTAACTCAGCTTAGACCCCTGATTTCTATCAAAGTGATCAAAACTGCTGTCTCCTCTCTGGCCTCAGGATACAGGCTCAGAAGTGGGTGTAATAGGAACAGCTGGAGGTGCCCTGGCCCCTCTGCAACTGCTGTCTTGGAGAAAGACTCTTGTCTTCCTACACCTTCCTCCCTTGCCTCTCTCACTACATTTTGAAGGCTGAGCTGCTGCCTGGCAGTCTGGGTGGAGATGCTCAGCAGGGCCTTCAACATAGTTTTATCAGCATAGTTTTATATGTGACATACTGTGTCACATACACACAGCTTTCCAGTAAATGGTCTTGAGATAGAAAGATGTAGTAAAAAGTGACAGCTAACTGGAATGAACCCTGCTTTATACACAAAGGCCCCACATCAATGTGGTGGGTTAGGAAATATATTAGGTTCTTGCCCCACTCCGTGGCCACTCAAAACTCAGCTACCCCATTGCTGATCACACAGATTCCTGCCCTACCCCACCACACTAGGCTAAATCCTCACCCACACCAAGACCAGAAAACTCGGTGTTTGCTTCTCAAGCAATAGGCAGGAAAGTGGGAACACAGTAGTGCCTGGCAACTAGATGGCCAGACAGAAAAAAGAGATGACAGTGGCCATGACCATCTTACCTGAGGGTCAGTCACTGAGACAGAGGCATATTATGCACAGGTGAGCCTTGGGCCATCTCCTTTCCAGGTACTCTCCACTCTTGAAGGACCCAGAGACATACAAATAGCAGGGTGATGACACTGTCATGCTTTATAACACAGTCATTTGGTTTGGGACAGAACAGAGATGGATGGTAACAGTTGGGAAGAATTTATCCCCAGAAAACTGTTGTGCTGGGGCACCCTTATTTCCCTTCCTTCCAATGTGTGGTCCAGATCTCAGGGCCCTGCTTCTATGTGTGGTGCACATAGCCTTTGTTCCTTAGCCAGATCCAATTCTGCCCATCCCACAGGAGCCATTTCAAAGTTACTGTTTCTACTTGGATTGTGCCAGACAGAAGCATCTGCATTTGTCTCCCCACATATCCAGATATTCATGCATCACATGGTAAACCACAGATTAAGTCAGCTCCTTAGATGCTCCACAGATAGGGATTTCCAGACTGACCTTGAGACCTCAATTCTGAGCACCATGTTCTGAGGAGAACTTCTAGAGCTCAGAGCTAAAATTAGGGGCTCTTCAGTCATAAGCCCTGGACCAAGTGCAACACAGGCTGGACCCAGCTTGTCCTAGGTGATAACAAATCAGCCATACTTGTGGGAACAGGATTCTATCTCAGACAGAATGGGATGGGAGGGGCACAAAACAGCCCCTAGGCCAGCCAGCTTTGTACTTTTAGGAGGAGAATGGAATATAGCAGGAGGAGGGAGGGGTGCCTGAGGAATGAGGGAATGGAAGATGGAATAACAGTAGAAAAAGGCCCTGAGTTACTCATTGAGGGACACCTGATTTTGTTACCTACCATACCTTTTTTTTCCATTTGTTTATCAGTACCAGGTATCGAATTCAGGACCACACACTTGCAAGGCAGGCACTTATGCCGCTGAGCTAAATCCCCAGCCTCCACCCACCATACCTTTTGGGTGACAGCAGACAACAGTGACACTTGACTTTGGGCAGCTACACATACACTGCCTCCTCCTGTGATTCCATTCAAAGGTCCAGGGAAGATTGGAGTGGACAGTGGGGGCCCTGTGTAGACAAAGGTTTGTAGCAGAATGACAAAGACAGCGTGAGAGGATGTCCTGGGCATGTGGTAGTGGTACACACTCTGTGTTGCTCAACGTGGCTACTTGACACAGCCAGGGTCCAAATGCCTCCCTGACCCAACACTCTCAGGCATGGATCTCCATAGCTCATTCAAGAGTGCCACCCTGGGGTCCACACACATCAGAGAAGGGCGGCCCAAATCTATGGTCACCATAGCACCTGCTCCTGCCCTTGTTTTGTGCTCTCCCTCATGGCACTCAGCTACAACATGATGCCACATGTTAAGAACAGATGACTTGAAGAGTACTTGGCGGGAGTCAATGTTCAGCAGGGTTTGTGCTGGGGAAGGGATACCCCTGCCATGCATTAGTGCTGTGCCTGGTTTTAACACATCATGACACATAGGAAAAGTCAGTCCCCATGGGTTCAGGGATCAAGGGAGGCTAAGATATGCTGGTAAGTAGCTCCACTGTGTGAGAGTGGGGCCAACAGAAACTATTGTCCTCAGCCTCCAGCCTGGGACTGACTCACCTCAGACCATGGTCCAGGCAGTCTGTTCAAGAACTACATGTCTGCTGCTTGGGGAGCTGCGTTCCAGGTCCACGTCAGAACATTTGAGAACTTTCATGCCCTGTGGGGTACATAAGAGGAATGGAAGTGGGGAAAATGTCCATCACAGGGCTTAGGAAGTGATCACCATGGCACAGGTATATAATTTGTTGTCCTTTCTAAAGCTGTACCCCAACAGAGATTTTGGCTTTAGGATATGATGCATGGCTTGGAACAAGGCACAGAGACTTTACTTTTGTGGGGCATTAAAGTGCCCTGTGTCTACGGCATGAAATTTTCTCAGAGTTAGGGAGGTGAATTGGTATTTTAGTGGGTAAGATCCCCAGAGAGAAGAAACCACATGGAGCCAACATTAGCAACAGCAGTAAGCAAGCATCTTTATTATCCAGCCTGTATATATCAGCCGTCATCAAGCATTACATTCTTGCATAGTGTCACAAGCCTGAGCACATCCATGGCTGTCTATGTTAACTCATGCTTATATAACTATGTCCATGGTGTGCACATGCTAATTGGTTAGGTCAGATCCCATAGGTCCTCATACCTTTTGGTGTTGAAGCAGTGTGCAGTGGTTTCTCACATTCCACCACCTCAAAGATCAGGGAAAATGTGTTTATTGTAAGTGACCTATAGGGTGGACTCATGCACACAAAGACCATGACAACAATAAATGTAAAGTATAATACCACTAATCATGCCATAGTGCAGCTTATTGCCACCCAGAGCCAGGTGGATCCCAAGGATTCCCACCACTGCATGAGCAGGTCCTGTTGCAAGGCATCAAGGACACAAAACTCCATGTCCATTTCTTTTAAATTTTTTTTTAATTTAAAGATAGCAAATAAAATTAAAAGAAACAAAATACAAAAAAGCAAAAAAGTGTAGAATATAGAATTCAAAAAAATTAACTCCTAAAATTACTAGTTGATACATTACATATTCCCATCTTAAAAACAGTTGTTAAAGTTACAAAAACAAAGCATAAAAAGTCACTCAATACTGAAACATTGATGGGCAAACCCTTCCTTTCAGTGATCTAACAGAAATTTAGTAATATGGTCATCTATCTTTCATACTATACATATCATTATATCATTTAAAGCCCGTTACATTGCTTTTGCTTTTACAATATATACTATACTTTTTTGGATCCCAATTCTTTGTCAGTTTTTTATTATTTTTTACACTAGAGAGACAATGAGAGAGGATATTCTCAAGTTACTTTCATTTACTTATAAAGGTCTCAAATCATCCTTTTCTATAGCTGAGTAGTATTCCATTGTGAAAAAATACAATTTTTTCATCCACTTATTGTTGATGGCATTTTGTTGTTTCCAAGATTTAGCTATCACAACTGTGTTGCACATATCATTGCACATATATCGCTGTGAAATATTTTTTTTTCAAATTTCTGGGAAAATACCCAGAAGAGGAATATCTGGATTGAATGGAACATCCAATCTTAGTTTTTTGAGGAATTTCCACACTAATTTGCACAGTGCTTTTATCAGTCTGCATTCCCACCAACAGTAGACAAGTGTTCCTTTTTCCCTTCATGCTGCCAAAATTTGTTTCAGTTTATTTCTTGATGTCAGTCATTCTTTCCAGAGTAAGATGAAATCTCAGTGCTGTCTTAATTTGTATTTATCAAATCACCAATGATGGTGAACATTTCTTTATGCATTTATTTGCCATTTGTATATCTTCATCTGAGAACTGTGTACTTACCTCTGATGCCCATTTTTGGAAACGGTCTTTGAATTTGGGGGCTTGACATTTTTCAATTCTTTATATGTTCTACATACAAGTCCTTTGTCATCTATCCAGATTCTTTCTGACTCTGTAGGGGTTTTTTGACTTTATTTGATTTCTGTTTATGTACAAAAACTTTTTAGTAATATGAGATCCCAGTTGTTGATTCTTTGAAGTATTTTCCATGTGGCTGTGTTTTATTAATGAATTCTCTGCCTACTCCTATGTCTCCAAGATTTCTATCTACCATGTATTCCAGTAGATTTTTGTTTCTTTTTCAATATTAAGATCCTTGAACCACTTTGACTTTAGTTTAGTGTATGGTGATAGGTATGTGTCTAGTTTCAGTCTTTAGCATATAATGTCAATTTTTCTAATACCATTTTTTAAGGAGGCTATCTTTTTCCAGTGAACATTTTTAACCCCTTTGACAAATTTAAGGTGGCTATGTGTCTTTGTAGTAGTGTTTTCATCTTCTAATCGGTTCTATTGATCCTCGGGTCTATTTCTTTGCCAGTACCATGCTGATTTTATTATTGTGGCTTTGTAGTATAGTTTCAAGTCAGGAATTGAGATGAGTCTTGTCTTTCTGTTGTTGCCCAGAAATGCTTTTGTTATTCTAGATTTCTTCTGTTAACAGATGAATTTCAGAATTATTTTCTCTAGATATGAAGGTATGTTAATGATATTTTGATTGGGATTGCATTGAAATGTATAACAGTTTTGGAAGTATGGCCATTTTCACAATATTGGCTTCTTCCTAACCAAGAGCAAGAAATATCCTTCCATTTTCCAATTTCCTCTTGAATTGCCATTTTCAGAGTTGTATAATTTTCAGCATATAGGTGTTTTACAATTTTATTTAGGTTGATTCCTAAGTATTTCATTTTTAAGATACTATTGTGAAATCCGATATTTCATAATTTTTCTCTCATGGAGATTTTTGTTTGTGTACAGGGATGTTATTGATTTGTGAGTGTTGACTTTCTATCCAGCTATGCTGCTGAATTTGTTTGTTGCCTCTAGTAGTCTTTCAAATGAGATTTTGGGGTCTTCTATGTAGAGTATCATATTGTCGGCAAATAATGATAATTTAACTTCTTTCCCTATTTTTATTCCTTTTATTTCTCCCTCTTGTCTGATTGCTCTGGCTAATATTTCCAGAACTCTATTGACTAGGAGTGGTAGTGGACATCATTGTCTTGTTCCTGTTTGTAATGTGAAGGCTTTCAGTTTTTGTCTATTTAGTATAACATTGGCTGTAGGTTTGTAATAAATGGTCTTTAGACTTTGAGGTACATAGCGTGTATTCTGAGTTACTGTAGGGTTTTTATCATGAACAGGTGTTGTATGTTATCAATAGCTTTTTCTGCATGCATTGCAATGATTAGGCGATTTTTATTTTTGGCTCTGTTGATATGGTGTATCACATTCATTGATTTGTGCATATTGAACCATCCCTGCATTCTTGGAATAAATCCTACTTGGTTATGTTGTATAATCTTCTTGATGATTTGCTGCATTCTATTTGCCTATATTGTATTGAGAATCTTTGCATCATTGTTCCTTAGTGAAATTAGTCTATAGTTCTGCTATTTAGTTTGATCTCTCTCTGGTTTTGGAATCAGAATGAGACTTGGTTCTAAGAATGAGTTAGGGAGGACTAATTATCTTTCAATTTCAACAAAGAGTTTAAGGAGTGTTGCAGTCAGATCTCTGAATTTCTTATGGAATTCATCCCTGAATCCAGCAGGATCTGGCCTTTTACTGTTGGTAAGTTTTTAATCACATTTTTGATTAATGTAGCCTGTTATTTGGTTACTCAAAATTGTAACATATTTTGATTGAGCATTGGTAGTTCATATCTCTACAAATCTATTTCCTGTTTTGCATCGTATGTGAGTAGAGATTTTCAAGGTAGGTGTTCATGATGTTTTGAATTTCCATGGGATTTACAGTAATTTTTCTCTTTTCAGTGCATATTGTGTGAATTTTTTTTTCTTGATAAGCTTGGCTAGAGGTTTATCAATTTTATTTTCTCAAAAAAACAGCTCTTTGATTCATTAAATCTTTGTAAATATTTTGGTTTCAATTTCATTAAGTTCTGCTCTAATCTCTATAATTTCCACTCTACTATGAACTTTGGGTTTTACTTGCTCTTCCTTTTCTAGAAGCTTGAGATATAGCAATAGGTTTTTTATTTGTGTTCATTCCATTTTCTTGATGTGACTACTTATTACTATATATTTCCCACTTAGGACTGCTTTCATTGTGTCCCATAGGTTGTGGTATGTTGTTTCTGCATTTTCATTGTATTATAGATGTTGTTTTATTTCTTTTTTAATTTCATCTGTAACCCACTGGTTGTTTAGGATTGTTATTTAATTTCCGTGTATTTATGCAGGTTTTTCCAGGATTTTTGCCATTGATTTCCAATTTTAGGGCAATATGGTCCCATAATATGCATGAGAAAATTTCACTCCATTTGCATTTACTTAAAAATATTTTATGGGATATTATATGGTCTATTTTGTAAAATATCCCATGTGCAGCTGAGAAGAATGTATGTTCTGATATGGTTTGGTGGAATACTATGTAAACATCCACTAAGTCTATCCATGCACAGGTATCATTTAGTTATGTTATTTCTTTGCTGACTTTTTGTCTAAGTTGATCTATCTCTTTGTGACAGTGGGTTGTTAAGGTCTCCTATTACAATTGTGTTCTTGTGTGTTTAGCTTTTCATTCCCATTAGTATTTGTCTAACATAGTTGGGTCCTCCTGTATTTGGTGCATATATATTTATAATTGTTAGTTCTTCCTCTTGTAGTTATCCATGTAAAAGTTTATAGTGGCCTTCATATGTCTTTTAATCATTTTATGTTTGAACTTCACATTGTCTGCAAACAGAATAGCTACCCTTGCCCTTTCCTTGGTTCCTTGTTAATGGAAACTTTTTTGCATGCTGTGACTTTTAATCTGACTTTCTTTTTGAGTCAGATGTGTTTCTTGTATAAAACATACTCTGGAATCCTATTTGATCATGCATTCTGTCAACCTGTTTCTTTTGATAGGTGAGTTGAGTCCATTTACATTTATGGATATCACTAATATATACTGCTTTGATTTTGCAATATTGTGTTCCTGTTGTTGGTTTCCTGCTTTTCTCCATTATTTGGTATTTTGTCCAGCCTGGTGGTTTCTTTCTGTTGTTCTGGAGATTGTGGTCATGTTTACCGCTATTTTGCATATATTTCAGTATTCTTTCTAGGGTTGGTTTGATGGACATGAATTGATTCAGTTGTA